ATTTGTTTGGCAGAAGCCTATGGGTGCTTTCTCAGGATAATGTTTTTAATTACATAAAATAAGATGCATAGGATTACATGGGGAACTAATGATCCAATCATATTAAATTATAGTTACTAAAAAAAAAAAGGTCACAGACCCTAGCTTAAGAATTTCTACAATTAAGGGGTGAAGGGGTTGAAGAGGTAGTGTCTACATCAGTGAAATGTAAGAGCTCTTAAAATAGTGAAATCTATCACCAACATTGTTGAAAGTTTTTAAAATAATGGCTGTCTTCCAGAGGTAATTAGGAGCTGTTCAGTATTCTCTCTTTCCCTTATTAGACATATTCAATAGGGTTGCCCCTCCTTCTCCTCTCCTCCTCCTCACCCCAAAACACAAAAGAGCAGGTCGTTGAGGCATTTAAAAAAAATGAGAACAGTAAGACAGAGAGACAATACTCTGTGGCCTTTTACAAACCTCAAACTGTCTTGCAAAGCGTTCATTTGAATAGATTGTAAATTGTTATCTATTGAAAGAGGTACCAAATTTCCATGATGCCTACTACTCTACAGGTAACTCCACGCGTTTCATTTCTTTTTTGTGTTCAAAGATACTGACAGAACTCCAAGGTACAATCTTCCCTCTTCTCTTATTTGATCATAGGGTGACCCTAAGACTTAGAGCTGATCTGTGGTCCTCAGGAATCATCTGGTCCAGTCGTTTCACTAAACACTAAAGCCCAGAGGTCACACTGCTAGTAATTAGAGCCTGGGAGCTCTCCCTCAGCAGAGCTTGACAAGCAACTATTGAACACACGAATTGCAATTGCTAGCTGTGTGCATGTAGAGTGAATGAGAGAGATCAAAGGGTTCTCTAAGTTGTGGGCCATTCCTGTAATTTGCAAGGAATTGCTTTTGGACAGTAGTTTATTCTTATACTACTATCTAAATATACTACTAACTAAGGCTGGGAGTCTTCATGGGAGATAATGACTTTATTCTTCATTGAGGCAAGGAGGGGGCTCCTGTTTTGAAACCTGCACAAGGATTTTCTGAAAGGGCTGGAAGTTTAAACCTCTTCTGTTAACTGGGGGTTTTGTTTTTGCTTTGCAAAAGCTAACTCCTCCCACACAGTGCAAAGAGCTTTGAATTTGGTGTCAGAGGGCCTGGGTTCAGATTCTGCCTATGTTACATCACTTTTGGTTGTAGAGTTGTTTTTCAGTCATGTCTGACTCTTTGTGATCCCATTTGGGGTTTTCTCACCGCAGATACTGGAGTGATTTACTGTTTCCTATGAGGAACTGAAGCAAAAAAGGCTGAGTAATTTACCTGGGGTCACATGGATAGGAAGTGTCTGCAGCTGGATTTGAACCCAGGAAGAAGAATCTTCCTGACTCTAGGCATGGTATTCTATCCACCACGCAACCTAGCTGTGTCTTGTATAGGGACAAGGGAGGTGGGACCAGAAACCAGGGTCTCAGAGGTCCCATACTAGCCCCAAGTCTGATTCTAGGACCTTTTTTTACGGCTTCTAGCATCCTTCACGGCTTATTAGCTCAAGCAAGTACTACTACCACCTACTTAAAAGTCTTTCTTATCCTTTCTTGCTTCCAAATATCTTGTATTTCTCTAAGTGTGTATCTCTCCTCTCCCTGTGCCCCCTCCCACCCCCAGTAGAATGTAAGCTCTCTGAACGTGTGGTTTGACTCATTTTTAACTTTGTATGTCTATTGCCTAAGCACTGTTCCTTGTACACATTTTGTCAGAGAACAGAAGGAAAAAAATCCTACTCAAGCCGTATCTGTTCTTCATAATAAATACTTTAAAATTAATTTTTAAATGCTAAATATAACAAACAGCAACCAGATGTTTGCTGGACTGACCGAATTAAAAGGGCACTAAAAAATTAAAAAATAAAAATAAAAGGGCATTAAAGCCTGATGATGCAGTAGGTAGAGTGCCTGTTCTGGAATCTAACCTCAGACTCTTGCTAACTCTGTGAACCTGGGCAAGTCACTTCACCTCTATTTGCCTCAGTTTCCAAATCTGTAAAATGCAGATAATAATTATCACTTACCTCCTAGAGTTGTTATGAGGATCAAACTAAATAATAATTGTAAGGATCTTAGTAAAAGTTATATAAATGTTAGCTATTATTAGATCCCTTTACCCTTTTTAAAATGAGGTGATACTGTGAAATAATGCATTTAATTCTTTGTATTAATTATAGTTTACATCCAAGCCAAAATTACCATTACTTCCTTTTACCCTAGGAGAAATAGAGTAGCAGGAAGTTGAGAGCATTCTAAAGGGCCAGCCCAAGCTTTCCAAGTACTCTTAGTAGAAATGATTGGGCAGACTCTGCTGGTGTCCCTTCTGTGCCGTGAGCATAATGTTGGCTGTTGTCCCAGTGATGGTGAGATTTTGTCAGGAAATGTGACCTGAAGATCCTGCTAGATGTGTGTGCGCAATGTTTTAAAATGGTTGAAAGCACTACTGATCCCGCTGTATATGAACTGAATTAGGAGAAAAAGAACTCCAGTCTGTGTTGCTGATCTATTTCCCTAACTCAGGATGTACAACTTCTTAATGAGATATGCTTTAGGAAAAAGGAAAAAAAAGTACCCTGAGCATTTTCATAAACAGCTAATGTGGGAAAGTTGTGTTGACTATGCCAATTTGTTACAAGGGTTTTCTTTTCTTTTTCATTGAGGGTGAAGGGCAGTATTGATAGGTTTGCTGAAAGAAAGAAAGAATGGAAGAAAGAGAAAGAGAGGAAGGAGAGAAAAAAAGAAAGGAAGGAAGGAGAGATAGAAAAAGAAAGAAGGAAAAGGAAGGAAGGAAAAGAGAGTCATGGAAACACTTTTTTTAAATGTACAGAAGAAGAAAGCAGATGAAAATGACCAAGAATAAAACTTTGAAAGTTACAGGTTGAATTTGTACTGTAATGTGCTTAAAAGGAAATTTATTAAGCTAGTAATAGAGATTCACAGTTTCATGTACAATCCCCCTTTTTCCATTCTCTATATTTGGAAATGCTCCTTTTGCTTGTTGTGTTCAGAATAAAAAATTAATTTTAAAATACTTACTGTAAAGAACATACATGATACTTAGCAGTATCTTTTTGCCCCTGTCTTCTACAAAAGTGTCCATGACACCATCAAGTTTGTGTTATCTAGTAATTCACACTGGGTTTGATGCTTGGCTTCTGGTGCTCTTCCAGTAGAACCATACGCCTTTTGACTATCTGAAAAGAATTAGCCAGAAAAAAATAGCAAGGTTTCAGAAATGTTTGCTTATGTGGCTGGTCCTATGACCTACATACTGCTAAGAGCAAGTGGAGTACTTGGGAGGCATTGTGGAAGGAATGAGGAAAGTGCCTAACACAGAATCACAGAATCTGAGCTGAGTCCCCACTGTGCCTATCACTTAATCTTCCTGGTCTGTTTCCCTTAAAACCAAGGTGGGGTTGACTGGATTACCTCTGAGATCGCACTCTGGATCTGTGAGCCTATGATATATTTATGTGTCTTTACTGCCAATTTAAGGAATTGCCCCTCCCTGACTTTCTTACTCTCCTCCTATCTTGAGCCCTATTCAGTGTTTTGTTTAGTCATTATTTCAGTCATGTCCAACTCTTCATGACCCCATTTGGAGTTTTCTTGGCAAAGATACTGAATTGGTTTGCCATTTCCTTCTCCAGCTCATTATACAGGTGAGGAAACTAAGGCATACAGGGTTAAGTGACGTCCCAGATCAAGCAGCTACTAAGTGTTCAAGGCCAGATTTGAACTCAGGAAGAGGAGTCTTCCTGATTCCAGGCACAGTACTCCATCCACTGTGCCACCTAGCTGCCCTAAAGGCTTTTACTCATTGCATAGTGCTTTTAAGGGGAAAAAAAATTAATAGAAAAAGACAACAACTAACAAGGATTTACTTTTCTCTCTCTCCTACCTCCTTTCCGTCCTCCTCTCAAGTGTTTTATGTGTGTTGATCTTCAATCCTGGGAGCCAGTAAATAGTACCACTATTATTGTCTTCCATTTTACAGGTGAGGAAACTGAAGTTCAATCCTTACCCTTCAGACTAGGAAATTCCACAGAAAACACTTGAATGATTTCAGAGGTGCATAAAGCAGTTTCCAGAATCACCCTTGCTGATACGCAGAAGGTTCCTATGACTTCAGGATGATGCTTTCTCTTTGTTTTGTCCTGCCTGTGACTGTATCTCAAACATAATATTCTTACCACCTGAACTTCTTAGAATGCCAAAGACCTTGACCTCTGCAGGCCTAGTACAGTATTCTTTGCTCACCTGGGTACTTCAGTCTTTGGCTTTCTTCTGAAATTGCTGACCAAAAAGATGTTAACTGTTGATTATGAGTTTAGGAAATAGTGTTCAGCAAAGTGGGTACAAGAATGAGTTGAATTTTTTTTTTAATGATGAAAATTCTAGATCAAAGGAGAATTAATTTAGAAGAACATTAAGCCACCACATGCCAAAGACTGCATAGAAACCAAAGTTTAAATGGTGATATAAAGGATGTCCCAAAAATCTGAATTGGAATACCCTATATTAATAGGATTCTGTTTGGAGAACATTAGGTAGTATCAATAGCTATTTATCTATCTCTAGATTTCTCATTGTCACTGTATTTACTCTACCACCTCACCACCCCCAACAACCTCCCCCACCTCACCTTTATATGTTGTCTTTCCTTCTTTTGAAGGTAAGCTCCTTGAGGGCAAGACTGTCTTGCTCGATTTTTTTGTTTGTTTATTTATTTTGGCTAAGCAATGGGGTTAAGTGACTTCTCCAGGGTCACACAGATGGTAAGTATGTGTCTGAGGCTGGATTTGAACTCAGGTCCTCCTGAATCCAGGGCCAGTGCTCTATCCACTGCACCACCTAGCTCCCTGTCTTGCTCAATTTTCATTTATATCCTTAGTGATTAGATCACCATTAGGCATAGAGAAAACCCCTGATAAATGCTCCTTTATCTGTCTAATCTATGTGTTAGGCAATGGTGGCTTGCTATCCTGGGAATGGGACCGGTTATGTTCGACACGTAGACAACCCCAATGGAGATGGGCGCTGTATCACCTGCATCTACTATCTGAACAAGAACTGGGATTCCAAGGTATGTTGGGAACTTTTTGGACTATGTATAAATGTACATTGAGTACAGGGCACAGGAAGAGGATTATGCTAAGAATTAGCTTTCGGGGGAGAATTTATATAATTTAGAAGTAGAGAAAACTTTGAAATATTAAGATGTTCATTATCTTCCAACGAGGAGCCTTTTCATAGTATTTTGGGGAAAATTGTCTCTTTTTTTCCACCGTCTAGAAAATCTGGATGAAAGGAGCTAAGGTGAAAATAATGGTTGTAAAGCTGAATTAGTAACTCCCCCCCCCAAAAAAAAAGCTCCACTCCCAATTACTTGTCTTTCAGAGCAGAGGGATCAGACTATGAGCCCAGCCAGAGCTGACGTGACTTAGACTGCTGAAACCTAATTAGTAGCAGCAAAATACACTTTTCCTCCCAGCAGCAATATTGAGAGAATTTCACAAAACTGATACTCCAGGATATAAAAGCATCCCCAAGAGAGAATTTCCCACAGCCTCTCTCACACAGAATAAAATATCTCATCAGTGGCCACTTGCTATGGTTTACTACATGGGTATGAACTCCAAGGGAGTCTTGGCTCATGCTATATATTCTCCAATGTGTGTAACCTGTGTGTATGCTTATCCAGATTTAAAAACTGATGCATGTGGGTTGAGGTATTTTTGAAAATTCGGGAATGATTTAGTAGTTTGGGAAGTGAGGGAATTATTCCAACTTACTTGGCTTCTGAATCTTCAGCATCCCTGCTTCCTGTCAGTTGGGGTCAGACACAGGCTGCCTCAGAGAAGTTCTAAGGTTTTTGTTTGGGGGCCAGAGAAACCATTAAACCAGCAAGAAAAACAGTGAGTGAATGAAAACACTAGGGGAAAGTTCATCTTTTCCCTCTTCCCTTTCCTTCCCCCAACGTGATGAAGCTAAAATGTGTCCCTTAAATCACATCAGATTTCAAAAGAATAATAATTTTAAAAAATATATTAATTGTCCAGTATGTTGCAGTGCCACCATGGCATTGTGGAAAGAGAACTGGCAATGAATACACCTACTGACTTTGTTTACCCCCAAAAGTCACTTAAGCTCTCCCTGTTCTAGGCCACTCATAAAGACTCTTTCAATTGCAGAGAAGTGTCAACCTGCATTTGTGGGAAGAGTTTCCTCACCCAGCCATTGCCCTATGCTAATAAAACCACAGTTCTTTTCCCTTTCTCTATCAAATATATTATCTTATGTCCCCCAAATTATCTTGTGATTGTCCCAGAGGCCTTCAAATAGCACTACATTTTGAGGTCAAAGAGCCTCAAAAATATTTACCTCTGTTTACTCGTGTATAATGTTGCCAACTCAGTGTCTGATACAGTCAGATGAAAAGATTTAGCTAAGGTCACAAATAGGTAGATGGTGTGGCATTTCAATGATGAATGTGTATGTGTACACATGCACCCACATGTATGGGGACTCCAGTTTGGAAGAGAGAGCAGGGGAATCAGACTCCCTTTTCCTATCAGTAGTAGGCTAATATGTTCATCCTAGCTGCGGAATTATATCTGTGCTCAGGAAATAACCTTTATTGTATTTTTCAGCTACATGGTGGGATTCTTCGGATATTCCCAGAAGGAAAGTCCTTTATAGCAGATGTGGAACCTATTTTTGACAGGCTACTCTTCTTCTGGTCAGATCGTAGGAACCCACATGAAGTACAGCCTTCCTACGCTATGAGGTAAAACCTTAAGAATGACATATACCCCCAAGGACAGATTTTCTTTTGGAATAACCAAATCATCATTTTCAAACTGAATCACATCTTTTTTTGGGTTTGTTTATTTTTTTTTAAGGACAGGAAAGGACCTTAGATAAGCAGTTCAATCTTTTCCCCCACCCCCAACTCTCATTTTTACAGATGAAGAAACTGAGGTCCAGACTTGGCTTCCTGTGTGACCTTGAGCAGTTGATTACACTATAGTTATTTTCTTGTACTGAATGTATTTAAAGGGAAAATCTTGGATATATAGGTTTGAGGAAACCAGAGCTTTCAATTTGAAATATTCATTAACTCTATTAACTAACTTTAGGTTAGCTAGAATTAGTTTCCCTCTAATTTCCTGCCCCCTACCTCCCACCCTCTTGTTTTGGGGGAGCACATTAGCCTGAAAGGAATATCACATGTAAACTTTAAAAAATTTATTTTATTTCATTTTTAATTTTATGTTTTATTACATTTTTATTTATTTAAACAACACAATCCCCCAACTCTGACTTGTACCAAAGATAAACATTTAAGCAAAAGACATGGTTTATTGGCTCCATTTTCATCTGATCTTATCCAATTCACCCTTAAAAAATAGAGCCCATATATCCCAAAGAGATCAAAAAAATGGGAAAAGGACCCACATGTACAAAAATATTCATAGCAGCTCTTTTTGTGGTGGCAAAGAATTGGAAATTGAGAGGATGCCCATCAATTGGGGAATGGCTGAGCAAGTTGTGGTATATGAATGTAATGGAATACTATTGTTCTATAAGAAATGATGAACAGGCTGACTTCAGAAAAACCTGGGAAGACTTATATGGTCTGATGCTGAGTGAAGTGAGCAGAACCCAGAGGACTTTGTATACAATAGCAGCCCATTATGCAATGACTAAGAATGTTAAACTGAACCCTTCTCAGCGTTACGAGGATCTAAGACATCTCCAGAGGCCTCGGGATGGAAAATGCTGTCCACATCCAAAGAAAGAACTACGGAAGTCGAATCGCTCTCACTTATTTTTACCTTAAGTTGAATTTTGTTTCATCTTTCTGATGGTTCCTCCTATTAGTTTTAATTTTTACTTACAACTTCACTAATGTGAAAATATGTTTAATGGGTATGTAAATGTAAAGCCTATGTCAGATTGTGCACCATCTTGGGGAAGGTGGGGGGGGAGAAAAAGGGAGAAAAAATTTTCAACTCAAAAGCATATGGAAAAAAAAATTTAAAAAAAAATGAAAAAAAAATAAAGCCCCAAGAAAGTTATATGATGGTGGTGTACTTGGGCTTCAGCTTGGAATAGAGAGTAGGAGAATCAGACTCCCTGTTCCTTGTTAGCGATAGGTTGATATGTTCGTGTTTTACAGAATTTGTTATGGCAGAACCAAGGGTAAAAACACAGATCTCCTGGCTGTCTAATGTGCTTTTTTTTTTAAATGAGGCAATTGGGGTTAAGTGACTTGCCCAGGATCACGCAGCTAGTAAGCGTCTGAGGTGAGATTTGAACTCAGGTCCTCCTCACTTCAGGGCTGGTGCACCTCTTAGCTGCCTCTCTAATGTGCTTTCTACAAATAGCTAGTAAATACCTCAGACTACTACTAGCTTAGTAACAAACTAATTAAAATAATTTGTAAGTCCTTTTGGAAAAATGATGATGTAAAAAGTGATAGGAAAATGGTTCTTAAACTATTCTCTCAGAAATTGGAAGCACTTTTGGTCATAGTAGGCTTTCCATTATGGGTTGGGAGAAATGACAGGGCAGACTTGCCTTTTGTCAGTGCTAAGGCAGAAAGCAGGATTGAGAATTTTAAATCTCTGATAGTAAATAAATACAAGTAAGCCTAAAAAACCTTTTTTTAAAATAAAATTAGAACAGTTCTTTTGTACTGGAGAGAAACATTTTAGTGTTTGGTTTTCGAAGCTTGTGAATATTGTTACCTTATTTTCCCCCCAGTATTTCCCCCAACTTATTTCCCTTGTCTTTCACAGATACGCTATGACTGTTTGGTACTTTGATGCAGAGGAAAGAGCAGAAGCCAAAAAGAAATTCAGAAATTTAATTGGTAGGTCTCCTTCCAAATTTCTCTAAAGAAAAGTTGTCTTGGGTCTTTTTAGATTAAAAAAAATCATTATTTTTGCTTATACAATGTCAGAAGCAATCATCACTCTCCTCCCACTCAACATAGTTTATAATGACATTTTTTATAATAATGTCATATATTCTTATCCTGTTTTATGAATTATAAAGCAGCCACTCATCAGATCCTCAGAACAGACCTGTAGAAAACAGCTCTAATGAAAAATGATGGCAACACTTTTTCTAAGGCTTTTCTATCATCGGTCAAGGCAGAGCTAAGCTTCTGATTTTTTCTCCTAGGAATCTAGCATCCCTACCTAAAGAAAATGGAAGTATTTCCCACTCTTCCTTCTTCACTGTATGGGTAGGAAAATTAGAAAGAACAGAAAAGGTGTCCTAGAGAAGGGTAAAGAAAGGCCACAGGGATAGGGGAAATGGAGGCTTAGGATGAGGGAAAGTGTCCCCTCTTATAGTCATTGTTTGTCCTTCATTCCTGAAGAGGATCGTGACATCAGGAAGATGATGCCATGACTTGCAAGTGAATTGGATTTAAGTGAGGGAGGGCTGTGCAAGGCCACCAGCCTCACTTTCTCCTCTGGAGCCATCTGAGTTCCATGGTGAGATACAGGTCGGGATGACTGGAGATCCCCTGCCCCCCATACAGTCGTAAAGAAATTTCATAATTAAAGCTGGGGGTAAACGTTTGATGTCTGTAACAAGGGCAACAGGAGCGAGACTGGGGTAGTAAGGTCTGACCAAAATGCTGGTTGTAGGAATGAAGGGGGAGATGATGATAATTCACATTCATTATGTAGTCCTGAGCTTGGCCTTATTTTATATGTTACTTCAGAGTAGGACTTGTTTTTAATCTCTGTATTTATTTCCCCCATACCTGGCATAGTGCCAGGTATATAATAAATGCTTGTTGATTTAGATGTCATTTCAGGAAAGAAAAAAAAAGGTCAAAGTACCCTCTGATTAAAAAATTGGCTGGAAAAAAAACTTAATTTCATAAGACTAAGTGACCCCGCTTCTCTCTCACTATGACCTTTCAATTTATTGTCAAGGATTCTGTATTATTTAATTAGTGATCACTTAGTCTTATGAAGATCTAGTAAGATCTAGTAAGAATGACCCTATCACAAGTACTTGTGGGGTTTTTTTTTAAGCTTAAGATGAGAAAGCTTGAACACAGGTTATATAGGTTAATCTTTACACTTCTATTCCCTTCTTCCATATAACTGTGTCAGAATCCAGTTTCCTAACCCCCAGTTCTTGTTTCTGTCACCAACACAGGGAAAACGGAAACCTCCCGGAGTGAGGACTGATCTGGAGATCGTTTGGCACTGTTCTTTTCAGAAACACTGTTCCTGATTTCTCTGCAAGTGACAAGATCCAAAGATGACCTCTTCATTGACTCGGGAAGGATATTCTTTCCCACATGCTAGAAATGCACTGTTCATGTCTCTTATCTTGCCTGTGGTACTCAGCATTTCTTCTGCCAGGACTCTGTTCATCTCCAGACACTCTCTGTGACTTTGGAAGGACCTGAAGACTTGCCTACTCTAGAAATACCGTTGAGCAACGACTCATTGAGCAAGTTTACCAGATGACTTTTTGGCTACACCAGTTGTAAAGATGATGAACGTGGAAACATAAGGGAGGGAACAAATCTTATTTGCACTTTATGTAAACTTTTCAGATTGAAAGAAAGCTTTGCCAAGAAATACTTCCTCTGGAAGCAACTTGAGGAGTTGGCCTAAGGAAAGAGTTCCTATTGCACCACTCAGCTAGATGTCATTGGATGAGCTTTCTGTAGCGTTAGCTCAAGTGTATGTTTTCTCTGTCTCTACAAAGGGCTGTCCTTGTCATTGTAATATCTTCACACATGCCTTGTTGACTGAACACTTCTTATTTTGTTCTTTCTTCCTAGTCTTGGAAGTAAGGCTTCTTGCCTCTGCTCAAGATGAGTGAAAATATGAACCTCATATGAGATAGAAATACCATTTACTTCCCTTTTTATTTTCCTCCCTCAAGAGGTTGGCTCCCCAGAAGTCTAGCCAAGGTTGGAAGTTCAGCATTGTCTTACTGGCTCCTTTAATAATAAGGTAGAGTTGTGGATCCAAGACTAAACATCTTATCTGGACCTTAGAACCAATCTATAATTATGTTAAAACAAAATTAGATCTCTGGTTAACAGTATTTTTTTTTAATTAACAAAAGTTTTCTTTGCCCATCTTCCCCCCTATTCATTTAAAAAAAAAAAGAAAAACAAGTACTTATATAACATATGCTTTGTCAAACAAAACACATTGCTGCATTGGTTATATCCCAAGTTATACTTCTTAATCCTTGAGCCATCATTTCTCTCTTAAGGTTAGATAGTAGCATGGTTCCATTGGGCCTCAGAGTTTATATGTGTCTTCACTGGTTCTGGTGGGAAAGAGGGCTCAGGAAAATTAGTGATGTCTTCCCCTTTAAAAAAAAATGAAGACACTCTTCTTTGAGAAAGTAGGGTAAAAATAAAGTCTCCATTTTTAAAAGAAAAAAGAAATAAAAAATTCATGGAAGAAAAAACCTATGTTGAGTCACTGGACTCTGTCTATCCCCACCAGCTTTCACTCCCACAACCAGCATTTTGGTTAGACCTTGGTACCTCAGTCTCACTTCTGTTGTCAGTGTTACAGAGGTCATGTATTTACTGAGGTGTAATTGTGAAATTGTGAAAAAAAATTGTTTTCTATGACTGTATGAGGGAACACTTTGCCTCATCCTCATAATCCATTTCCCATATCATTGTGGCCTTTCCTCACCTTCCTTTGGGACACCTTCTTGTATTCCCTTTTGTATCTTACTTGGAATTGTCTCATTTCCCTACTTATACAGTGAAGAAGGAAAATGGGAAACCTTTCATTTTCTTTAGGTAGAGATGTTGGATTTCTTGGGAGAAATCCCAAGTTTAGCTTTGCCTTAACTGGTGGTTGAAAAGCTTCAGACAAGTGTTGTCATTTCCACCTGGCTCCACATCGAGCCTTTTTCTACATATATCTTTGGAGATGTACAAAATGTGTCCATTGCTTTCTTCCCCATTTTGTCACCATGAAAAGACTCCCTGGTCTTTGTGTGTGTGTGTGCGCGCAACTTTCTACCATCATACATTTGTGAACCCGGGAGATTAATTCTAGAATTCTTTTGGTGTCATGATTGGTTTGGTGAATGAAACTGAGCTGATTATTTACCAAATGGCAGAGTATTGTAAAACATGCTGTGAACCACTATTAGTTGGAAGATTGGCAGGATTTCTCTTCTTCTCTGCCTTGGACCATTAAGAATATAAACTTAACCCTGATGAATGTAGCTTCAGTTGCACTAATACAGAATCCTTGACAATAAACTGAAAGGTCATAGTGAGAGAGAAGAGGGGTTTACTGGCTACTCTGGTAAGAAGCAGTCACTATGTATTTTTGAAGTTGTCTATTTTGCTTTAGGGTTTTTTTTCCTTCCTTTTCTTTTTTTGGGGACTCAACCTGTGATTTCATCAGTCTAGAATACTAGTGAGGGATTTCCTTTACCAACACATCAGCATTATCTCTTGCATTATCTTTACAACCTTGGCTACCTGGTGCACCAACAGGTTAAGCTGCTTTCCAGTGGTCACAAGCCCCTCCATTGCCTATTCCAGAGGTAGCAGATAAGACTACAAAATTCACTTAAAGCTTTTGACCAGTCTTCCTCATGTATACTAATGGGTATCTGATTGCTGGGAGTAGATGCAGATTCATTGATTGAGTAACAGGCTATTAAAACAGTATAGCCCTGGTACTTCGAGTTGACTTTTTTTTGGCAAGTTATTTCTTTTTTTAAACTTGTCCAAGGTCTGACTTTTCTTCTATCTTACCTAAACTATTGGGAGAAAGGTACTATACAATAAATGTTTAAAATAATCTATTTTATCTTTGGCTGATTTGTGTGGCTGAATTATCCCACTAGAAATCAAGTCCAGAACAGGTTGAAGATGAAACCATATAGCCAGGGACTGTTTTTTATATTCCCTTAGACCCTGTTGTTTGGGAAGGACTGAAAACTGCCAAGGGAAAGTCATTTGGTGAATAATCAGATCAATTTCATTTGTATTCCTGGCAATGGAAATGTTAAGAGCCTTCTAAGCATTACATCATCGAAATAGTGCAGGGTCCTTAGCAGTAGATTGAATTTTGATCCAAAGATCCAATTTCATGAGGGTAAAAGTCTTACCTCAGTTCAGTAAATAGATCTACAGTAGAGTAGTTAATACCAATTAAATGCAGAGCTGTCTAAATTATGGATCATCTGTTTGAACCTGATATCTTTTCCTTTTTAAATTACTCTGGCTTCTTAGTAGCAGAATTGTCCTTATGTCTGATCATTTAGTCCTAATATTTCCTTTAAAAGAAGTCTTGATGGGAAATGCCCCACATAGGGTCGGTAGTCCTTATAAAATAGCTTGCAAAATAGAGAGGCTTAAGGTGTTTTCTTTTTAAAGATTTGCTTGCCCACTGAAATGGTTAGCTGTGGTGAGTGCAGAGACTCCAAAAATGGCCCTGTCTTTTTTTAGTGTTAGAACTCTTGAGCTGACAGAATGATGGGCTGTGTGACTCTAGAGAATATCAGAATTAAAGAATGACAAGTTGGGGCAGCTAGGTGGCGCAGTGGATAGAGCACTGGCCCTGGAGTCAGGACGACCTGAGTTGAAATCTGGCCTCAGACATATAACACTAACTGGCTGTGAGACTCTGGGCAAGTCACTTAACCCCAATTGTGTCACCAGAAAAAAAAAATGACAAGTCTTAAGTAATTACTTTAAAGACAGGAATTGCCTAGTGTTTTCCCTTATCCCATGCCCTTCTCAGTTTAAAAAGCAGCTGACACATTTAAAGAATTCATAAAAGAATCTTTTAAATTCATTCTACCATCTCCAAATGTGCTATTCCTCAAATGTGAAAGTCTGTAGCTGGTGTGAGCAGGGCAAATGATTCATTTTTCCAGTAGTGGGAACAGATTTAGGGTTATCCATCCATCAATCCTTACCTGATAAATGGCCAGGATTAGGGGAGTGCAGTATTTTGCCGTAGGGGCCACTCTAGTGGAGAGAAGGTGAAAGTGTTGTCTGAGTCCTCAAGTCTTAGAACTGGAAGGGGGTACTCTTGACATAATATAGCTCCACACACTAATCTTCAAGACAAAAATGAATACCTACAGGAAGTTTAAAAGGGTCCTATTGACCCTTTGATCTATCTCTAGACAACTTTAGAATGACTATTTTCAGTCATTATGAAATAGCAACAAACGTATTTCATGCCTTTTCCTGGAAATTATCTTTTTAAGGTTGACTCTGGAACACAGGTCCATAAATTTTTAAAAAGTATTTTGATAGCTATTTCAATAGAATTGCTTTCCTTGATAATCCTAGGTGTTTATATTTTATACATATAAAGACATTCTCAGACAAGTTACATAGGCATTGCCTGTTTACCAAAAGGGTCCACAAAGAAGAACAAGGTCATGTGCATCGGTGTAGTAAATATTTCTACATTTTGCATGAACACCAACAAAAAAACCTGCAAAATGTTTTTGTTTGTTTCCTGGGAGTCTCTAGTGCTACTGGGGAATCAGAGAAAATATTGTCTGAAAAAAAATCGTAGTTTTAGAGTTTGAAAGAAAACTTGGACGTTACCTAGGTCACCCTTGCCATTTGACCTATGAGGAAACTGAGCGTCAGAGAGGTTGTCTTCCCCACAGTCACACAGGCAGAGCTTGGGGTTCAAATCCAGGTTCAGTGCCTCCAAACCTAGCAGACTTTTTTTTTTTAATTCAGCATTTTAGAGTGCTTTCTCCATGGCAGCCTTTGGAGGGAAGTAGATGTGTTTACATTCTATATTACTATAAGGCTAAGAGGGGTTGTGATTTTTTTGCCCAAGCTCACACACTCCCAAGTAAGTGACCCCAGTGTCTGGAACATAGCAGGCACTAAATTTCTGTTGATTGATGCCAATCCAGTGAACTTTTAACTATACTTCATGCCATCCTGTTCCCTAAGTTAATTTATAAAGCTGTAAGATGCAATGGAGGGAGCACTGGGCCTGGAGTCAGGAAGATTCAGCTTCCTGAAGTTCCCGAGTTCAAATTCAGCCTCAGACGCTTACTAGCTGTGTGACCCTGGTCAAGTCACTTCACCCTGTTTGCCTCAGTTTCCTCATCTCTAAAATGAGCTAGAGAAGGAAACGGCAAAGGATTCCAGGATCTTTGCCAAGAAAACCTCAAATGGGGCCACAAAGGGTCAGACACGGGACTGAAACACAACCATAAAACTTCCAATAAGGGACTAAATGAATGGGCTGACATGAGACCCCAGGGGAATGGGAGGAAGAAATGTTCGGTGGAAAGGAGATGATCCCCCAAGAGATAGAACATCTCCTGGCTGGTGCTGAACATTATTAGCCCTGTTCTCTGTTGGGTTCTGGGTATTAGCTGTTAGGTGTGAACAGACACACATCATAGCTAAGTAGCCCTTGCCATCTGGAGTGAAAACACTTGTAGTTTCCCTGCTGCATTGAATTTAGTCCCTCCCTTAGGCACTGCGATGAGTTTAAACATTGGTTCTGGCATCTTGCTATTCTGTGTAAAAATATGCCTCATATGAGAAAAGGCTTTATTCCTCCCCTCCCCGCCATTTTTAAACACATGCCTTTCCAGCTAGGATTTACCTACACCTAAGTTAGGAAGAGAGATCTATAGAGCTTAGTTGCCCTCAGGCATTATTTCCCCTTCAGATGGATCCTACAAGGAGGCAGAGCCTCGGTCCTTCTGACCCTTTGTTTCCATCACTCCAGGGATCGTTTTGGGAGGATTGAGTTCAAGTGAGGATGGAAAGCTGCAAACACTTGTTTTCCAAAGGCTGCCTTTTCCTTGCAATTTTGTAAGGCTGACTTTAGAGCAAAGGTTGTTAACTTGGGGTCCACATATTCCCAAAGGGTCCCTGGATAGATTTCAGTGGGTCTGTGAACATGTATGAGAAAAATTTACAACTTTATTTTCACTAACCACTAAACTTTAGCATTTCCTTCAATTATGAATTTTAAAAACAATTCTGAGGAAGGGTCCATAGCCTTTTTCACCAGACTACCATTGGTGGCCATGACACAAAAAAAGATTAAGAACCTCTGGATTAGAAGAATGTTTAAATGTCCCAGTAAGTTATTTGAATTTTGATTTTTTTTTTGAGACCATCTGTACATTCTGAAAGTTGAAATATGGCCTCCAGTTGCCTTTTTTTTTCTTGTAGTAATTTTCCTGACCTTGCTGTAGTAGAATGCTTTGGAAAATAGCTGGGGTTTTTTTTGTATCCCTCACAGGTAAATAATCTTCCATTCTTTTCAGCGCTTGAGCATTTTCAGAAAAATCTAATGAAGACCTCTTTGTGATTTCAAAAGGGACAAAGCCTGCCCGAAGCTGTGTGTGTGCTGGTCACCACCAGCTTTGGATTGTGGCTGATTAAATGTGTGTATGTTGTCCTTACCAACCCTACAGGTTAACTTAAATTGTGAAATGAAATCACTTCAGTACTGCAAGAATCAATAAACACTGGGTTATGTTCAAATCTGTGTTTAAGCCCTTTATTTTTAATGCTTATTTCTTGAGGGAGAAATTGGACCTCTTTTTTTTCCCTTAATTTTTATTTTCAGCTCCAAATTCTTTCCCTCTCTCCATCTGCTACCCCGCCTGCTGAGAAGGCCAGAAATGATGCCCATCATAAATATAAATCATGCAAAATGTTTCCATGTTAGCCATGTTGCAAAGATAAAAACAAAGAAAGAAGGAAAAAAGGAAGGAAGAAAAATGAAACAAATATGCTTCAATCTACACTTAGAATTCATCAATTCTTTCTCTGGCAATGAATAGCATTTTTCAACATGAGTCCTTTGGAATTGTCTTGGATCATTGTCTTGATCACAGTAGATAAGTCTTTCACAGTTGATCATTGTTACAATATTGCTGTTACCGTTTTCAATGTTCTCCTAGTTTTGCTCACTTCACTTTGCATCAGTTCATCTAAGACTTCCCAAGGTTTTTCTGAAATATCCTCTTTGTCATTTCTTATAGCGTAATAGGATTCCATCACAACCACATACAACTTGTTCAGCCATTCCTCAATTGATTGGTATCTTTCAGTTTCCAATTCTTTGGCACTGTAAATATTTTTGTACATATTTTCTTTTATCTCTTTGGGATACAGACCTAGTAGGGGTACTGCTGGGTCAAAGATGACCTTTTATATCTAAATCACACACCCATTTAGAGCTTATCTTGTTGGGCTTCCCTTTTAAAGGTGGACCTAATGGTGGCAAAGCCAAGGAAAGGGGAGACCAGCTGTTAATAGAACTGATGGAATGTGGATTGTCAGCTGACATTTATTAAGTGCTTACCATGCACTAAGCACTGGGAGTACAAGTTCCTGCCCTCAAGGAGCTCCCCTTCAGAATGGGAAAGGACAACATGAGAAAAGAAGCTGAAAAGGAGTGGGGAGGGCCAGGGTTTCCAGCTTGAGAGCACAGTAAAGTCCAAAGTGCAGCCTGAAGAACTATTAGCCAAGGCTGACCTGCAGAACTTCTTTAAGTGGAGATTCTGGGAGGAGCCCTCCAATCAGAGGGAGAGGCTGCAGGGACAAGGTACTTCCAGTGTGTGAATTCCAGTGAAACTTCTGGAGGAAGAGCTGAGTCATGGTGAGGTTTCAGGATGGTAGAGGAAGTCTAGAGTATAGCCTAGAGAAGATGGACTACCTTCTTAAAATGGAAAAGGAAAAGATTTATTGAATTGTCAAGATCAAAGATTAAAACTGGGACCTTAGAGGTCGTCTAGTTTGGAAATATCAAACATGGGACACAGCACTCCAGAGTACTGCCCAAACCAGATTAAAATGCAATTTGAAAATGTTTAACAAAATAAAAATACAATAAAAATGTTATTTTATGTTTTTTTTTCTGTCTATGCATTACAGAGATTCATTTCTATTTGAGTTTGATACCAGTCATCTAGTTCACTGCCCTTCCCCCCCATTTTACAGATGAG